ATTGGGTATAAATTTGACCTATCCTTCCTGTTTTAGGAATCTATCTATTGACTTCGATTTTTATCTGCTTAGGTTTAAGTACCCATTCTCCAGACACTTAATGATGCTCTGTCTCCCACCTCCTTCCCTCCTCCCCTTTCCCTCTCCTATTTATTTCGAGTTTTCATATCCCCAGCTCATAACTCCGAAAGCTCATGATACGTGCCCACGAAAGCTCATGATACCATCTACATGTTTTGTTAGTCTATAAAGTGCTACCAGACCATTGTTATTTTCTTCTGTAACAGACTAACTCAGCTACCCCCTGAAGCTCCAATAAATCTGTTAGTCTATAAGGGTACGTCTAAATTACAGGCTTCTGTCGACAGAAGTTTTGTTGACAGATACTGTCGACAAAACTTCTATCGACAAAGAGCGTCTAGACTACATTGAGTTCTGTCGACAAAGCAAGCTGCTTTGTCGACATGGTAGTGTAGACGCAAAGGACAGTTTACATTCAATAACACCTTCTGTCGACAGAGTTTCTGTCAACAGAAGGTGTTATGCCTCGTAAAATGAGGTTTACCGGCGTCGACAAAACTGCTGAGTTCTGTCAACGTTATGTCGACAGAACTCAGCGGTAGTGTGGACTCAGGTATAGTTTTGTCGACAAAAGCCCACTTTTGTCGACAAAACTCTGTAGTCTAGACACACCCTAAGGTGCCACAGGACTTCTCATTATCCCTTCTTACAGCATGCATATAGAAGTAACATATGTGGCCACGATGCTTATATACACTAAAATCCACTTATCCTGCTTGGACAAAATAACCGTTTCCCAGACTTCAACTGAAAGCTCTCTCCTCTGAAATTGTAGTTACGGTCCCAGCCCTGTTCCCACAGAATTCCTCAAAGTGAATGGAAATTACATTCACAGCCATCTTCAAGCTGCTGGAGCAAAGGAACCTCACTGTAAATGAAAACCTGATACACATATGTATAGATATGTAATAAAGCTGTTTGGAAAATTCCAGTGGATTTTTTGCATTAATGTACAAAACCTGTTCCTTTTTTAGGTAGATTTCCCATAAAATATGTTCAGTTTCTCAAGAAAAAAGGCCAAAAAAAAAAAAAAGGATTATTTTCAGTTTCTGAAAACTCCATGTGCAGTTTTTGGTCAGAGCCCCAATGCTGGTAAACCCCGACTGTGACAAGCCCTTCATGGTGTTCACCAGCGCCTCAGACACAGGCCTGGGGACAGTGCTGATGCAGGTGGACACAAATGGGGAGAGACACCCCACGGCGTAGTGGAACAAAAAGCTCCTGCCTCTGGAGCAGAGCTGTGCAGCCTGAGGGAAGAGGTGCCCGGCTCTGGTGCAGGCCCTTAGAAAGCTGTGGCCATATCTATTTGGGCAACATGTCTCAGCGTACACTGACTCCTCTTCCCTGACCTGGCTGCACCAAATGAAAGGGGCCAACGCCAAGCTGCTGAGGTGGAGCCTGCTCCTACAGCATTCGGACGTGGAAGTGGCCCAAGGGAAGGGGACTGCTAATGTTATAGATGATGCCTGTCACGAAGAGAGGGGCGTGAGCTTCCCCAGGCCACTGGCTAAGTGACCCTGCTCAGTTCGGTCTCGAAGGGGGGACAGGTGGGACGAGCTGGGGGTTTTTGTCAGCTTATGTTGCATGTGAGTTCTCCTATCCTATAGTAACTCTGTGTGTGTGTCTGAGTTTCCCTGGGCACTGCACCAGTATCTAGAAGGTGATGGGAATTTCAGGGGTGACTCCTACTGAGGGAGGCTACCCAGCTGCTACACAATGGCTGAGCCCCTTTGTTACTGGAGCCCCGGAGGGGGTGCCACCTGGTGACACCTTTTGCTGGGTAAGTAGGACAAAGACTGGAAGAGGGGCCTGACAGAGAGGCTAGAACAAGGCTGCTAGACATGTGAGTTATTCTCAGGTGGTTTGGGGGCACGGGGGGGGGCACAGAGGGAGGGTCCAGCCCCTGGCTTGGGGCCTCCCGCTCCTCAAGATGGATGGTACTGGCTGCTTTTGGTTCCTGTGCTGACAAGTCTGTTCTAGGCTGTGTCCCTGTCACCTAATAAACTTTCTCTTCTACCTGCTGGCTGACAGTCGCACCTGCCTGGGGGTGGGGGTGCCAGGGTAGACTTGGCTCACTCAACTGAAGTATTAAATTTTTACAATTGGCATGTTCAAAGAGGCAAATTCTGTTCCTCAGAGTAACGTTTGTAGAGACACTCGGGGAAGAGAAGTGGCAGCGAGGGGGGGGGGCGAGGAGAAATGATGCGCCACGTGGCAAAGATTACACGCGCATCAAACGAAGCTCTTCTCCCGATAATTGTTTTGCTCGCATTAAAATTCAAAAGCAGAAATTCCAGTGAATGGCTGCGATCCTGTCACCCTGAAATGGCATCTGGGTGGCAAAGCAAGAGTGCAATTAAACGCTCTCCTCCCAGTCACCAATCATACGAGAGTGCAAGACAGAAATTAATTATAAGGTCATAAATCAGTGGAAGTGTTGTGATGATACAGCTTTCAGGCAGCTTCAGAAATTCCCATATGAACAAATGGCTTAGTAACCCTTCAAGCTTTTTTATTTCCACTCCTGGTGCTGCCTGAAGAAGCACACAATAAAACACCTAAGAAAGCGGCTCAGCCCTGGTAAAGAAGAAACAGTGCCGTGGGATCAGAAAAGTGGCCAGCTACTAAGTTTGATCTCTCTGGGATGATTATTTTAAGAGGGGGGGGAAAAATCAGATGGAGAAATTATCATTGTGTTAGATCTCCTCTTAGTAGGTGAGGGTAGTATGTCAGCGCTCCGTCCAGTCAGAAGATTTAGTTATCACGTGGCTTTCTCTAACCTTTGCACAACTTTTATGAGCAGCCTGTGATATCAAAGCACATAGTACTGCTTTTTGCCTAATGTCAGCATTCCTACACCTCCTTTGGGACTTGTTTACACAGGGGAGTAATTCTGGAGTAAGGCTGGATTGCGCTCGAGTTGTTCTAGAATAACGCCCTCTATCAATGCCCTTATTCTGATATAAGTGTCCAAATAAGGAGTCATGCCTGAACAGTTTTTTGCAAAATGATGTCTCCCAAAATAAAGACTCTGGGCAATTGCCCTGTGTAAACCAGCCCTTCAAAAATGGAGAAATCCATCCACAGTTTTTAAATCAATCTGCTGTTCAGTTTCACTGCATTGTCGCTACTTAAATGTGTTCACACGCGGAGGCAGATACACGGGCCTGCTGATGAGAGGAGGGGGAGTAAAGGGGCCAAACATCCTAGGCCCGATGATTCTAAAGGGCCAAGACTGCTGCTACTGAGGGAGTGGCAGCTGCCGGCTCTTTAAATCACCGCTGGAGCACAGCACTGTGTGCTCCCAATGGCTCTGAGGGCTGCCTGAGGATGAAGGCCTGGTGTGGTTTGCTCTGGGAGGTGTGGCCCCACCCCTTCTTCCTGAGGCTCCACCCCTTCTAGGAGCACAGAGCTGCCCCTCCCACACACCTTGCGCAGGGGCCTGGCAAGGCTGTCGGTACCCCTGCGGATATATCAGCCGTTCTAGATTAGGAGAACAGCGTCTCCTCCTGGGCTGTTACAATGAAAATGGCAGACACAAGCTTTGCACTGGTGTGAGAGGAGAACAAAGTCTACCCTGATTTGGAGCGTTCAAGGGAACTGTCACAGTATACGCAGCCTTGGACTGAGTTACAGGTCTGCTCTAGCCCAGTTCAGGAGTGAGCATCTGTTGCTATCATGTAATGGCTCCTCTGAGGTCTACATGAAACGAGCTGGGGTCTCAGTGGTACTTAGTGGACAGGTGTCCCCACCACAAAACCCACAGCCAGCATGGATACTAATGAGCATCTTTGCTGGCAGGCTGCGTACTGGGCTGGAAAGGCACGAGAACGAGCCCTCCGGGTCAAGGTTAGGCACCAGGGTGGGGTACCTGGCATTCTTCTTGCCTGTGCTCTGATTTAATGGAGCATTTCAAACTCCCTGATCTTAGATTTCATGGCCACAGGATGCTGTACTGGCCTGATGGGAACATGAGAACCGAGATAGACCGGAGATTAGAGGAGTCAGCTGCCAATCCAGCCAGGAGTTTTTTCAAAGCCAGTCAAGGAGTGTTCTTGGCAGCCCACCAGCCAGGCAGCTCCTCCTACACATGGCAGATGCAGACAATGATCAGGCATTGGTCCATCCTGCCAGAATGAGCTTTCATTCCATGAAGTTCACGATAGGTAAATTTAGAACAAATAAAAGGAAACCTGCCTGGCGATGTTCAGTCAGCCACTGGAATGTCCTGTTGCAGGAAGCTGCAGAGGCAAGTGGTAGAGATCTTCAACCAGCTGGATGATATTAGGACCAATAATCACCTTGACAATCATGCCTGTTAAAATTAAGAGCCATCCACCCACAAGCTCCAGGGCCTGGGGTGACGAGGGCCAGGAAGGAATTCCGTGTCCACCACTCCTGTACAAAGCTGGGCAATGGGGGAGGGGCACTGTGGATTTTGGGGGGGTCCGAGGTATAGGTCACTGCTGGAAGTGATCTGCTGGGGTAGAACAACCAAGGGACAGAGCCAATGTTTCCACTGATTTCAGCATCCGCTTTGCAGTGAAACGGGGGAGGGGGTCCACACAATTTGGGGCTGGGGCTAATATTTTCACATTCATTATGAAACACACATCCAGGCCTGACTGTGTGGATTCCTGCGTAGCTCAAGGACAGCCTGAGCCCCTTTCTTCCCTGGTGTAAAACCAGGGCAGCTTCACTGAAGTCGCTGGAGTTTCTCCAGGAGGAGGGTCCGGGGAGCAGAAGCCACCTGTGCCTCGCTCTCCCCGTGTAAATCCAAATCCATTGCAGGGAGGCTGCTCCGGATCTGCCCCGCTGTGTCTGGGCGCAGACTTTGGCCTCTCGGTTTCCAGCCCGGTGCAGTTTTTCCAGCAGGTGCCTGCGGCGAGGGGCTGCTCCGGGCGAGGAAAGCCGTGGGCGGGAGGGGAGCCCCGGCCGCTCCCGGGTGGATTTCGTCACTTGGGAAGCCGCAGCTTCCGCGGCCGCCTCCCGGCCAGGGTATAAAGGGCGAGGTGCCGCCCGACCTACCTGTGCCACCGGCTGCCAGCCCGCCCCAGCCCAGCTCCGCGCCCCGAGCCCGCCCGGATCCGGAGCCAGATGGAGCCCTGCTGCCCGCGGACGCGGAGCGCGCTGCTCGGCCTGGGTAAGCGGATCGGGCCCCGAGCTGGTGCCCACGCGTGTCCCGGGCTCCTGCGTGGAGGGGACGCGGCGGATCCTTCCAGGGCGCACCTCGGCAGCGGCGACTCCCGGGGTTGGGGGGCGCAGCGTGAGGCTGGGGCGCCCGGGCTGATCTGGGGCTGGTCCTGCCTTCAGCAGGGGGCTGCGCTCCTGGTGCAGGACCTGGCTCCCCTTTGCCTCTGGCAAGCGGGGGGCGTTGCTGGGGGAGGAGGTAGCCACATCTGGCCTTTTTTTAGGGGTCCAAGAGGTCTCCCCCCGTTTTTAGCTCCGCCGCCGAATGCTTGGGGAAATCTGATCTCGAAAGAGGAAACAATCGGGTCCTGCAGCTGGCGCAGTGCGGGTCCCAAGGTCTAGAGAGAGAGCAGGTAGCTTGAGAAATACTTTCTGTGGGGCCAGTTTGGACTGGAGAGCGCCTCCCTCTCACCCAGGAGTTGGTCCCATAAAAGCTACTTACTCTCCCCTCTCCCCTCTCCGCTTCTTGGCATGCGAGCAGGAAGCTCGGCTTTTAAAATCTCCTCTAACAAAAGCAAAACTCCTGTTGACTGTAAGAAGAGTTTTGCATCCCTAAAGACTGTGGGTTCCTGCTAGGGTTTCCAGGTGTCCAGGTTTGAACCAGACCGTCCAGTATTTGAGCTTTCTGTTGGGGAAAGAAATTGAGAAAATAGAACTGTCCGGTATTTTCTAAATAAGATGGATTGTGATGTAATGTCAAGTGTGTCCCGTATTTTTATTGAAACCATCTGGCAACCCTAGTTCCTGCCCTCTCAATAGGATGCCCTCATTGTCCCATCCGGAGATTTTCCTGCTGCCTTTTATTGGCCCAACTCTGGGGAACCTCTCTGGGCCTGCCTCTTGCTCCCAGAATGGTACCCTGTTTCTCTTGGCATCTAGATTCTTTGCCTTTTCGGTGCGACATGGTTGAGTAACGTGGTTGAGTAACACATTCAGTGCCTGTTTGGCAACACCTGAGTTGCTAGTCTAAACTGTGCAGCTGGAACGCTGGGATCAGTGTGGATGAAGCCATCGCGAATGTGCGTACGGCCCCTTGGCTGGATGATGGTAGTGGTGTCGCATGATGAGGATGGCTTAGCTTTGGTGGAAGGAAGATCAGAACCAGGCCCGGCTGGTTCCAAGGCAGAGCTAGGCCCAAAGTGGTTTCAAGTCTACTTTAATGTCTGCAGTGGGTAGCCAGTTGAGACATTCAATAGCCGAATGACTTCATTCCCATGCACCGAGTGCGTTTGAGCCTTCGCAAAGGTGCTTATCCACTTCGTTGCAGCACACAATGAAACAGCTGCACTGTAATTATCTGCCCAGACTATTTCAACATGAGCTCATCAGTTTCTGTTTTCCACCTTTACTTCCATACCACTTTGCATTCCAGCCATTATACAAGCCTTCTGTTTGCCAAGCCCTGGCCTTTATAAGCTGGCCACAGACTGGTTCCCGTGCAAGGATGACACTGAAATGTGTTATGCAAGTGTCTGTGAGCCTCTCTCTCCTGGGGCATGCACAGAGGCGCCTAGGAAAAGGCTAGTGTTTGACCTCCTTTACTCACAGAGGGTGGGATGGTAATTGGTTACATCTGAAGAAGTGGGTTGTGCCCACGAAAGCTCGTGACACCATCTGCATGTTTTGTTAGTCTCTAAAGTGCTACCAGACCATTTGTTTTTTAAGTTGTTACATCAAAGTGGGTCGACTAGCATGTTATGCCACCAAAGTATCTAACAGGGTGTTACAAGGAAGAGGGAGACAAATTGTTCTCCTTGGCCTCTGAGGGTAGGACAAGAAGCAATGGGCTTAAACTGCAGCAAGGGAGGTTTAGGTTGGACATTAGGGAAAAAACTTCCTACCTGCCAGGGTGGTTACACGCTGGAATAAATTGCCTAGGGAGGTTGTGGAGTCGCCATCACTGGGGATATTTCAAAGCAGGTTAGACAGACACCTGTCAGGGATGATCTAGATGGTTCTTGGTCCTGATGTGAGGGCAGGGGACTGGCTTCCAGTTCTAGTGTTCCATGATTCTATGAAAAGGATCCATTGACTTCAGTGGGTGTAAACTGCTATTGAGTGGGAGTCAGAGTATTTCAGACTGGCCTGTGGAAGCAAAAGGTGCCCCCCTGAAACGTACTCCCCTTTCCTAGCTGTGGTGGGGGATGTGTCTTTCCTGTAGCCTACAGACACTTATAAAAACTATGTAGAGAAATTACGGTCCGCCACACCGCGATTCACCACATTTATGCCGAATAGCTCCTCGCCCCGGAGGGTGTCTCAGGAAGTCAGTGATGCTGCTTGTAGAAGCGAGGTGCTACCTGATGAGCGTCTATGGGTCTGATCACCTGCCCCTCTGTGATCCAAGGAGTTTTGGGCCACAGTCTTTAAACATCGGTAAGTCTACACTGGCATGATTTTCCGGAAATGCTTTTAACGGAAAAGTTTTCCGTTAAAAGCTTTTTCGGAAAATCGCGTCTAGATTGGCAGGACATCTAGATTGGCAAAAGCACTTTTTGCGGAAAAGCGTCCATCGCCATTTTATCCATCGGGGTTTTTTTGCGGTAAACAGCACTGTGCTGTCTACACTGGCTCTCTTGCGCAAATGATTTGCACAAGAGGGCTTTTGTCCGAATGGGAGCAGCATAGTATTTCCGCAAGAACACTGACGATCTTACATGAGATCGTCAGTGTTCTTGCGGAAATTCAAGCGGCCAGTGTAGACAGCTGGCAAGTTTTTCCGCAGAAGCAGATGATTTTTGCGGAAAAACTTGCCAGTCTAGACACAGCCCTGGAGAGATTCTTCAGCTGATTTAGAGCACAAATGTAAACAAGACATTGTGTTCCAGAAGGTAAAGCGGGAAAGGAGTCCTTCGCCTTGACTCGCAAGCCCTGAGATAAAGGCTGATTTTTGCCTGCAAGGAGGCTAAATTCACTCAGGGCTTCATCGGTTTTGTTACAGACTCTGGCAGAGGGGCCCTGAAGCAGACAGCTGGGGTGGGAGTGAGAGACACCGAAAATTCCCCTGAGTGCAGCGGGATGTGGGCCAGTTCAGCAGCTCTTCATCTCATGTGGTCGCTGTGGAGCCCCAGTGGCTTTTAAGGCACCATGGTCCTGCTACTGAGAGGGCCGTGTTTGGAGGCCTTACAGCTGAAGAGATGGATTCTCACTACAGCACAACAGATTAACTGAGTCCTTTTATATATGGAGTGTGTGTGTGTGTGTGTGTGTGTGTGTGTGTGTGTGTGTGTGTGTGTGTGTTTATACATAAATGAGGACTCAATTTATTTATTTTTTTTGCTACTGTGTACGTCTAGAATGAGACAAACGTGTATAGAGTTTAATAAGCTATGAGAAAATATGTATAAGAAAATCCAGGACAGAGGAAACTTGTCCCACAGGTGAGGCAAGATACAGCTTTCTAGAGGTCAATTTGTCAGTGTGGTAAAAAGATTTTTTTTTCCTGATTACAAGAAGTGTTTCTCAACAGACAAAGAAGTAATGGAATTGCATAATCGTTGGAGCAAGTACGTAATATGTTGTCTGAAATATTTTTGTAGACCGGTCTTTTAGATTGAATGTTAGATTAGTCTGTGGAATTTCACCTTAGAAAAATGAAGGAGTCGATTCCATATGTGTTAGGTAGAACGAATCAACACCAAAATGTGCATCGCCACAGGTAATGGGGAAGTTGGAATCAAGGAGTAGGAATGACAAACTACAGAAGTGGTATTAGCTGTTGACTACATGCTGGCCATGTGTCCGAGCAGGGAATATCTGGAAACTCTTTATACGGCCAATTCCCTAACATCCAGATCCAAATTTGTGCACAAACCCCAAATTGGCTGTGGGCTCTATACTTAGATTTCACCAATGGAGTACCATGTTAAACTCCTCAAGCATGGTAACAGTCTTAATAGGGAGTCACAGACCATTCCTGTGGTCTGGTTTATTTTGGCTATCCAGGCAAGTCTGCCTTTGAGAGAGATGGTCCCTTACCCCCAAAAAATCACAACTATCATCTGGTTATTCTCAGTCCCAAAGAAGCAGTCACTTACTCCAGTGAAGTTGTACTGTGATCTCAAATCAAATACAACACTTGTAGCCGGTCCTATGAAAAACTAAAGATGTATTAACTAGGGGGGGAAAGGAATGTTATTTACAAGAGTAAAGCAGGTAAATTATACATACAAATGAGAGTCAGTCCGATTCTGAGAGATGATAGTAGCTGCTATACTGTGCAAGTTTTGTACATCCTTTAGGGGCTGACCCAAGCTAAACACTGGGAACCTCTTGCTTAAGCTTAGAAATCTTCACCTCTTAGAATCCAAGCAGCATAGGGATAATCCTTCCTTACTGACAGGAATTTGTATTCCCTTCCCCTTCGCAGCATTCAAGCTGTGATAAAATGAGGACTTGTTACTACCCTCTTCAGGGATATAGGAAAGCAATTAACAAAGACTTTTGTCTACTTATGCAGTGTCTAGAGGTCTTCTTTTGTTGGGGAGGAGAGAACCCCTCTTGTGGGTATCTCACATTTGGTAATGTTTCTCCCCTGATCGTGAGATTTTAGAATCTTGGCAAATGTGTTTGTAGTTTCAGAAAATTTACACTAGGAGTGGGGAAACTCCGGCCCAGAGGGCTGGATGTGACCCCTGGCTTGCTTGTCCCTGGTTCCTGAGGCTTAGGGCACTTCCGTCCCCCGCCCCCCCAGCATTGGCGAACCAGCACCTATGGTGGGACTGGAGCAAACAAAATCTACTAGCCTGGGCCCCATTAGACTCAGGTGTGTGAGGGGAATGTGGGCAGTGTCTGTTGCCTTCTCACTCAGGGCCGGGTTGTTGTGGTTTTTTTGTTTCGGTTTTTTGGCTTCTCACTTGTGTGCAGCCCTTGGCTGATTTTTCTGTGGGTCTGCGGCCCCCGAACAAAAAAAAAAAAGGTCCCCCCCCAATTTAAATGCTACCTTGTAACATG